ACTCAGTAAAGAATAAACTGGCTACACAAGTATGATCTGCTACACTTGTTCACTAAATTTGCTCAAGTTGTTTTTTTTATAATTCAATCCTTAAATTTGTTACAGTTTTTGCAGATTTAAATGTTAAGGAAAAACTGGATTTAAATATTGATGAGTATTTTTACTTAATAATTAAAGTGTGTTTTTATATATATATATATATATAATATATATATATAGATAGTGTGTGTGTGGCAGAAATACTTCCCACATTAGTGACAATGCTGTTTTCATCTAGCTAATGTCTTACCATTATGTGGGAGGTATTTCTGTCACACCCTGTATATATAATGTGTGTATCCTTTATTATAACTTGACAAATGCCAAATAAAAGGTGGAGGTTCTAAGAAATCAAAAATGTTATAAATTGTGAGGTTAGAATTAAATGAAATAATATCAAAAATTGGGGCCTGGTGCTTTGAAAATGATAAAAATAAAGTCATTTGTTGTTATCTTTATAGAGTTTACAGTTTAAATGACTCAAATACCTAAGAGATGTCACTAAAAGAAAGATTGCACTTCAATGGTTTTCCACTGCAGGACATTTCAAAATCATTTTCCAGCAATCTTTTGTGTCAAATGAATCTAAAATGTCAAAATTTAATAAGTGTTGTGAGGTTCTAATAAACTCTGCTAGTCATTGTTATAACATTTCTATCATTGTGCCTATAAATAGTATAAATAATGATAATTCCTCATCACAGAAATTCATACAGCACTGATGTGTTTGGAAAAAAATTTCAAAAATTGACAAGTAGATGAAGGGGATGTTTATTGGCACCCAAGAGTTACTTGCCGACAAATGCTTTATGGCAGGTGCCATAAACATTTATTATTGATTTTAGTTTAGTTTAATATGAAACAAACAATAGAATGGAACTGGTAACCACAGCAATTAAGAGGTGGTTCTATGCTCCTCAAAACCTCCTGATACGAGGCCTTGCTGCTGGATGTAGTTTATCATCATACCCAGATCAATGTATCCACTGAATATAAGATTCAAATTAATAAGAAATCTAGGTGTATGTATATGTGTGTAATACATTTTTACATCACCAGAAGAGTTTACTATATAAACAAGGATGAATTTCCCAACATCCACCTCCAATATTGTGGAGCAACATCATAAAATAAAAAGCATTTACATTCAGAGCAAAACTTCATAAAACTCCATAGTTGTTCAATGGCAAATAGGTTGTTATTTGTTAAGTGAAATATTCACTAAGTATTGAATATAAACAAGAAAATTGTGACAATATAGTAATTCCAGGCATTAACAAAATCCTGATGAAATCTTTAAAAAATCACTTTAACAAATGCAAATGGATATATCTACTATCTATTGTCCACCTTAAACTTGGTAGTTTTCAATAAAATGTTCAGATATTAACAGATTGTAATACTTCAGCTCGATCCTGGCTTCCAGCAAACCAAATGTAACACTTCTATTGATCCTGGTTCACAACACTTCAATCCAATTCTGGTTTGATCAATGGATTGATCTCTTCAATCCTGACCTGCCTTACTCCATGTTGTGATTATTTTGAGTATAAGGAGGCCAAGATTGATTCGTCACAGGTATCTTCATGTTGGTCTAAGTCAAGCAAAGTCATACAATAAAATTAAAAAAAAACTCCACTTGAAATACATATAAAAAAATAATTACTATCTTTATATCAATTCTGTGTACAAGGGTTTGTTAGTAGTTGTGTTTGCATACAGGTGTTTGTGGACCCAACTTGTCTCTAAATTGGATACAACACTTGGGTAAGATGGTAAGTTGCAGAGTTATCGAAATTTGTTTTACTGTTTTGGTAAGTTTGGCTCAAGGCTGAAGTCTGAGATTCTTGTGTTTGGCAGGAAGTGTTTCACTTCCCTTCTCAGCTCTCTGGCTGTCTCTGTGAACTCAACTCAAACTCAACTCCCGAACTGTCTGAATGGCTTTCGCGCATTCATTTTTATGGACTCCAACTAGAAAACTGTGTAGGGCAAGATGTAGGTTGGGTTTTGGTGAATTCCCTGACTTCCAACAAAAGTTTATTATTTTTGGTCTTGAGAAATCAAATTAGTTCATAATATTGAGGAAATTCTCTCTTTCTCATGGTGGGGGGTTGTAGATGTCACTCCACCTGGCTGCCTTCACCTTCTCTTAGTACCATCTCTCACTATTGCATCCCAGTGGGCATGAGCAGCTCCTTCAACTTCCTTAATGTCTCCTCTGTGCCTGCTACTCTTCAATGGGTGCAGACTAACCCTCTTCCTTCCTTGATCGCTCTTCTGTGCCTGTCACGTCCAACATTCGGTTGAAGATTGATTAAAAAAAAAAGGTTTCAAATGTACTTTTCTCATAAATGAATTGACATCACATTTGGCTCTCTCACCTCTGACCCAAGAGACACTTTCCTAGCGAAATTTTTAGTGCTCAGCCACAAGTGTTCAATCCATTGTTTTTCATTCTGATATCCCGCGAAATGAATTCATTTAGCTTTAACTCAATCCTTCTCTTGTCAGATTCAGGCATTAGTTGTCATAGGCTGTCAACAGCTGATTTGTTCTCACAATTGAGAATCACTTTCAAGCAATCATTTGATCCATTATATATATTTTGATTCTCTGGGAACAATCTTACTATCAGACTATTATTCCAGTATTGGTTCACCCTTTTCATGCCAAGTTATTCATTATTATCTCATTTTTGTCCATTTTGATTATTAATTACCAGCAACCCAAATAGTGTTACAGATTAAGATAATACATATTTTTATCTAACTTGCTCAAGAAAGGAATATTCGAATGTTTTTATATAATGATTTAAATAACAGAATAGTATTTAGAAAAATAATTATACATTTTTATAATTATAACAACATGATACTTTGTTCACTTTAAATGACCCTAGGCATATCTCGTGTAATAGATAGTAACAATAGATTTTCTTATTACTCACACAGTAGTGAGATCAGGTTGCTAATAGTTATCCAACAACAGGAAAGTCTATTGTTATAGAAATAAACAAAAAAAGATGTCACTATTCATTATTATCATATTATAATTCTGCTTGTTCCTTAGTTTGTTAGTTAGCACGTACATTATGTCCTGCCAATACCAATAATGGACTATTCCATTTTGATCATGAGAAAAGAGAGATGCTGTCTGGTTTCAGTGAGAAAAAGAAAGAAAGGGTGAAGATAAGGAAATGATAATATTCTCATGCATTTAATGTCTATTTCAGTGAAATTTTGCATTTGTACCCTCTTACTACTTTAAATAATGACTTGTATTTGTACTTATAATTGTTATTAAAATATTTTGTTAAAGTTAAGTCCAAATATTTAACAATGCAATAGTGGAATTCCCATGAGTATTTTATAGTTATGAACCTCACAAGGGGCTTATTCCCTCATTAACTTAAGAATTATGATTCATCAGTAAATTCAAATAAGGAAATGATGAAATGAAGGTACTACTAGTATTAGGTTGTCATACATGAAATGGTGAATTTTTTGGTTGGTTGTTGATCCAGTCATCTAATGAAGTAACATCCTTAGTATATAAAAAATATTACCTTATTCCTGATTCTTTTTTTTTTTCCAGATAATTTTTCTTTCAATATATTGCTACTCATACCAATGAAAATGATTACAATGAAACAATGTCAAGTAAATTTACTGTATGAGTACAAACAGAAAAAGAACCATTTTTGCATTGAATCATTACATGCAATGAGAAATAGATACTCTTTGACAACAGTAAGAGAGTAGGCCAGTGGTTAGATGCAAGTGAATCACAAAAAAAAAATACCCCAAAACTCCACTGCACCATAAAAAGTTAATGTTTACTGTATAGTGGTCTTTCAAAGGAGGTTATTCATTATTCATTCTTGCCTCAAGGGAAAACAATAACAGCAACCTCATATTGTGGAGAAAAATTGTGTCTGCATGAAAAAGAAACATCCTAGACACATGAATAAGGATGGCCCAATTTTACAGCATGACAATGCACAACCACACACTTCTCAATCAACTGTTCAAAACCTGCATAGCCTGAATTGTGAAATTTTTGCTCACCCTCCATATTCACCTGATATCTCTCCTACTGATTATCACTTATTTAAACATTTTGAGCTTTTCATATGCAATATAACATTCTCTAGTAAGGAAGAGGTAATTGAAGCATTTGAACTGTTTATCACATGAAAGATGAGAATTTTTTAAAGATGGAATCAAGAATTTAGAGAACAGTCATTCATCAACATGGTGGCTATTTCAGTTAACTAAATTAGTTATTTAACATTTCAAAAGCATTTTATTCAATTCCTATAAAGTGTGTCATTTCATGCGTGACAACCTAATATATAGTAAATGTAAGCTGAGGAGAAATTTTCAAGAAGGAACTGAATCATCCAAAAACTATGGTATAATTCCTGGTTTTAATTCTACCCATTTTATAAGAAGCATGTTTTAAGCTTTAGCACTTTGGAATTGATTTTCTTTGCTGAGCAGAATGTTTGGCTTGCCATTGGAATGTTTGAATTTAAAAGTTGTGTTGTCAGGTAACTGAAATCTACAACTGGTTTACTGCAGTCAGTGGGATGGTGGGCTTGAAAAGGAATCTAGTGCAAGAGGGAGAAATAATTGTGAATAATGCAAAGTGATGAAGGTTAAAGTGCAAAACAAATGAAATTATTGATTTTTAAATTAAAGACAAGAGTATCAAAATCAGAATTAAAGTCTTTCATGAATTTAAAAATCATTTACAATTTTCATGTACATGTTCTAGAATACATGTATATATATATATATATATATATATATATATATATATATATATATATAAATCTTAACTAGGAAGTGTTTTTTCCAACAAGTTTGCATGTAACTCTTTTTGTATTAGTGATGTTAAATAATTTTAAGATATGATTATTCATTATATGCTTTTATGATCAAATTTTCTCATTTCAGCTCTTATTGATCTGTTAAAGGACCCATCCCCCCATGTGAGGGGCAAAGCTGCTGAAGCGATGAGTCTGCTGTATAGTTACTGAAGATGACCTTTCCACAAAAGAGACAGATAACAACAGCCACCTGGTGGAAGAAATGTAAAATAAAAAAATCATTACAGTTGCAGCCATTATGGACACAATTGAAAAAAGTCAAATTTAGAAAACAGAATTAAAAAAAATCACAACATTTTTTCTCTTATTCAGCTCTGTTGATCGTAGCCAACCAATCCAAGTTAGGTTTTAGATTCGTGTTTCTATTGACAGAAGCAGGAGCTCAATTGTTTGATGGGAAGAAAATCTTTTTATTCCTAAAACATTTAAATCCTATAATATTGACAACTTTTATACATCATATTGTAAGATATACATCTTAGTTATTTGTATTTTGCTGTTTTTTTGTGGGGGGGGTTGTTTTTTTTTGGTTAATCTTCTAACTTTCAAAGATAGAAAAGATAAATCTTTGATAAGTCCTGGTTATGTATAGGATTTCAGTCTCCAATGGTTTCTATTGTAACAATTAATGACAAATCTTAATGATGAAACTAGTCATTAAATTTAATGGAATGAAAATACTTTTATAAAATATAAAGAAATCAAATCAAACATATCAATGTGAAATAATGAAAATTTCATTTTATTTTCTATTTGTTTATGAAAAATTGATTTTTTTTTTAATCTTGACAAAATTGTCATCAAGCATTGACTGAATTACAATATAAATTAAGATGAAAAAAATTAAAATTTTTTTATATATCTCAAATTGTATAACAGTTCATGAAAATTACTTAATACTTTCAAAGTTTTTTTTTTAGATCTTACTAATATATATATATATATATATATATATATATATATATAAAACAAGGAAAAACTATTCTTAATCCATGCGTTTCATCCACTGAGGGACTTTATCAAGACTATCATTTGCTGTGATAAATTCCCTTGGAGAACAAAACATGTTGACTAAAATAGGTTTCCTTTTGTCTTTTTATTCATTTTGTTTCTTTACAGATAAGCTCTATCTGAAAATAATTTTCACATGCACACACACACACACATATATATATATATATATATATGTGCCTCTAGTATCTATAAAGTAATGTAAAAAATAATAAATAAATCTGAAGATCAGTTGTAAAGTTGATAGGCTGACTAAGGTATAAATGTAAGTAGATACACCAGTTGGTAGACTAAAATACATGCAAGTCTACCAGAATCCAACATCTTGTCAGCCACTTTCATGTGGTCTGGTGTGTCTACTTACATTTATATCTTGGTCAGCCTATCAACTTTCGAGCTGACCTTCATAAATAAACTTATCCCAATAAGGTTACATTCTTAAATGTTGGAAAATTTACAAATAATTTTAAAAAAATATTTTAACTTACTGACACACAGATGATCATCTCTCTTTTCTAGAAAAATAAAAAAAAAATTACTGTTCATGTAAAACTTTCTGTTTTAAAAACATTTTGTAAACTTACAAAATGAATATGCATAATTCCTGCAGAATATATTTAGTCTGTATATAATGTTTTATACAAAAAAATATGTTAGCTTTTTGGATTGCAGGAGAAGCAAAAGCAGTTTATGAACTCAAGATTGATAAATGATGAATTATTCTGTTTTCTCCAAATAGTATTGACTTGTGTTCATAAAAAATGATGTGAGAGAGAATAAGACTGTTCTCAGTTGTATCCCATTGTACCTGATCAAGGGCAAATAGTACTTTTAAAAGTTGAATTTGTACTCATAATAATAGGGCTAATACAATGTACATTAACTGTTTCAATTTGTATATGAAGACAACCTTAAAAATAAAGAACAAATTTTTTTCTTTGTTATTTTGGCTTCCATTGAAGTATAGTTTTTGTTCTTGCTATTATAAACAAGAACTTGTTTCTTTCGACTTTAAACTCTGATTAAAAGCCCCAAAATTCACAGTACTGAAAAAGAATGAATATGCTATTCTCTCTCTTAGAATTTCCTTAGAGGTTGATATGTAAAATTTCATTCACAACTTGGAACCAGCTGATGAGATATCTCACAAGTAATTTCTTTGCCCTGTAATGGCCAAACAGGTATTTTGATGATATGATTTCACACATTGGCAGGTTCTGTAACTAATGCTCTATTGAAAATATTGCCTTTTTATTTTTTCCACCTTGATAACAAATTCTAGTTTTCCATATTTTCACAAGGTGGTGCTATTTATGCCAGCTGATAGTAAATGTGGGTTAGACTGCACTTAGTAAACATCCTGGCATTCCAAAAAATGGCAGCGACTATGAAGAAATGTTGTACATATACTTCTGAGAAACTTTGAACGTCTTTTTGCTACTTCTGTTTCTTCTTATGCTGGATAATGATTCCAGACAATTTGTAGATGATGATGACGAAAGTACTGAAAATAATGATTATGCTAGACAAGCTGACAAGATATTAATAGCATCTAGAAATCACTGAGGGTAAATATGTATAAGATTAAAACATTTTGGTAAAGAGTGATTTTTCTTTCTTTTCTTTTTTCTTTCTTTTCTTTTTTCTTTCTTTTCTTTTCTTCTTTCTTTTCTTTTCTTCTTTCTTTTCTTTTCTTCTTTCTTTTCTTTTCTTCTTTTCTTTTCTTCTTTTCTTCTTTTTTCTTTTCTTTTTTCTTTCTTTTCTTTTCCTCACTTTTTCTTTCCTTTCTCACTTTTTTCTTTCTTTTTTCTTTAATATTCTGGTTCCAAGTTGTTGATATTGTCAAGGTAGTTTTAAAAACCTAGGACATGAGCTATTTTCTCTTTTTTTAAAATACTTAAGAAATAATTTATAATTCTGTAGATTTATTAAAATATTAACATTCTGTGATGAATAATGTAGTTGATGCCAAAATGCATCAAAATGCATCTTTAGCAGATGCATTTGGAGAGAGGTCCTTATAAAATCTTTAAAAATTTCAAAAGTATAAAAAATCTGAATGTTATAATAAAAAAAAATAAAAAGAACATAAAAATGCATCCAGATTTTTCAATGCCAATTTTTTATATATATATAAACACTGAATTTTTAAAAATGTTTTTTTTTTATTTTTATTTTTTTGCTTCATAAAAAGAAGCTTTAAATTTGTTGTTAAAGAAAAATGTTATCTTTGCTTCCATTGTTAAAAATGACATTTAACCAATGAAAACTTGTTATGTTTTTATTCAGTCTATGCTAAACACAGTTGGACTCTGTTTTTTAACATCTGTCTATATTTCTGAGAGGAGGTATTGTAACTATTTACACTGTTTACATTGTTCAGGCTGTTATTCTCATCCTTATTGTCATATTCATGACGTTCCGGCCATTGTATGCTCTGACCTTCTTCAGGATCTATCTATATTTCTGAAATGAACTATTGTAACTATTTACATTGTTCTGACTGTTACCCTCATCTTTATTGCTATATTCACAACATTTCACTTGTTGTACGCTCCAACTTCCTTCAGAATCTTTCTATATTTCTGAGATGAACTATTGTAATTATTTACATTATTCAGTCTGTTGTCCTCATCTTTATTGCCATATTCATAATGTTTCAGCCATTGTACACTCCGGCCTTTTTCATATGATATACATTGGCATTTCAAGCCGAACCCTTTATTTGTTTATCACCTGAAGAAGGCCGAAGCCTACAACAGTTGAAATGTCATGAATATGACAATAAAGCTGAGGACCACAGTCCAAACAATGTAAGTAGTGTAAACAGTTTGTTTTATTTTTTTATTTATTTTTTTTTTTTTTTTCAGAAATAATCTTTATTTGATTTTGTCCGTACCCACATTGACTACTCAAAGTAGGTATGTAGTGCCAATAGTTATTTTGGTTTACCCGTTATAATTTTTAAATCCAATCTCAGGTGGGTTCACATGTGACCAATGTTGCTAGAGTCAACTGTTTAACTATGATCAGAATGTACAGTCTAGGGTTTATTATTTCAATATAATTTCTTTGATCAAGTTAATCATATAGACACACCTGATTTCATATCATATGTAAAATCATTTCTTAATAAATGTGTAAGTATATAGAGCACCCCTCCAAACACACACACACACTTTTCTGTATATATTCACTTTTCATGATTTCTGTTACTTACAAATTGTTTTAGAGGTTGACCGTAAGTTTCTCACAACAGTAATTAGGCTGACAATTTGAATATGCCAAAAAGAAACCATAAAGTGCTTCCTTTTTAATGAAAAGGTGAAAGGAAAGAGAAAAACATCATATGCTAAGGTTAAGAATGAATGTAGTATCTATCACCTAACTTTTATTATTATTATCATCATCATCATTGTTCATTTTACTATTATCTTTTTTGTTCTTTATTATTAGTTTAGTGTTACTAATCTCTCATTGTGCCTAATTTATAAATGAAGCTTTATCATATCTACATATATATGTATAAGTGTTATACCGGAACATACCTATTCTATTGTAATAGACTCTTCCACATATAATGAGTAGTAGTAGCAGTCGCCAGGGGGCTCAGAGTGCAGTTGGTGTGTCAGTTGATGTCGGACATTAAAGTATCGACCACCACAACTAGATTACTGCGTCATTAGCTATTATTTCAAGTTCTTAACGTTTTGTACATCGGACCCTTTTAGGACCGACTAAATACAAGCCTCCACTGTGAAAACTGCTCTACAACAATAAGAAAAACAGTCTATGTAGTGTTCAGTGCTTTCCACAGTTTTCAAATATCTGCAGGAATTTTAGAACATTCCTCATAGATTAAGAGTGGGGGGGGGTGACTAATTATTTTTTAATCAATTTGTTGGGTTATTATAGTTTTGCACCTCTCTTCTCAAAACACCATATATTTACTTTTTGAGCATTAAAATTTGAATCATGATATTTAAACGGAATGTCTGGAAACTTATGTTTCCAACTAAGAAAATCAATAAAGGTTTTTTTTTTTTTGTTTTTTTGTTTTTTTTTTTTTTTTTTTTTAATAAAAATTCAAGAACCAGTAATATTAAACGGGATATAAATCAGTAGCAATTTGATGTAAAAAAATAATGAAATTTTGAATCTTTGATATTACACAAACTCTACAAAAAAGTTTTTTTTTCTCTGTGCAAATATTTGACAATTTCCACTATCTATCTAGACACAATAACTTGCACAAGCTGATCGTGGAAGTATACAGTTGGTGGGGTGCAAAAGTATAATAGCACTGAATTTGTTTATTCTATGAATGCATGTATTTACTGAGATTTGTTTGGCCCAAGTTGGGGATTGCAGGGCACTCAGTGAGGATCAAACTCAATACATTAGCAATTGTCTGAGACTAGTTTGGTAACAATCACACTGCAGTGTTAGAATTCTTACATTCTCTCAAGAGCATAAAGAGAAAGGAAAAAGAAAGGAATAAATTATGTTTTATTAATTTTTTTTTCTTTTCATTTTTTTTTTTTTTTTTAGTTAAAGATAATTGCAATAAGTATTCCAGGGACCAAAATATGTGTTAGTCTCATTTTAGTTGGAAAACTAAGTGAAGTCATGGTAGAAAACCAATTGAGAATGTTCTCATTCACTCTTTTGTTGGTAGTCTTGGATAAAGTGACATCTCAAACAAAGTGTTTGAGCAAGTAAATTGTAAGTCACATTAAACAAAATCAAGATAGAAATATTCTTGCTGTCTAAGACAAAGTGAGACCACGTTATTGTTCACTTAATGTGGCAATATTTGAGCCACCATTGTTTCTCCCCATTTTTGCATACTCCATACCACTCCATCTGTGGTGGCTTATGGCCACATCACCTCAAAACACCAGTTCCCATATGATTACCAAAGTTAAGCAATGTCAAGCTTGGTCAGTACCTATATGGGTAACCATATCAGATGTTGTAAGCTTAGAGGTGCAGATGCTGCAATGGGTAAAATTGTTAATCCATGAGTTGAGTTCCAATTCCAGTTGGGTCTGTTATATTCACTTACATGCAAATATCTTTGGGACAGATATGAATTGATCTCTTCCCTCCCAGTTATGGGTTAATTAGTAAGACTTGTATCCTTAAACATTATCTCAAAAAAAAAAATATTTTACAATCTAAAAATATTTTCTGAAGTTGATGCTGTTGTATTTTTACCACTAATAATTCTTTCATATTTGAAGAATATCTGTTTTTTTTCTTTTTTACATACACCAAAGAGAAAAATAAACTAATATGGTTCTAATTTCTCATCATTACTATTATGTGTGCGAAAGCAAAAAAATATGAGTTTCAATTCCTCATTGCTACTGTTATAACTCACTCTTAGCAGTTATAATATTATGTTTCACTTAGGCACTTACTGTGACGTTACTAGAATTCTTTCCAACCAACTGCTCCTGACTCACTTTGAGCTCTTTATTTAAGGCTTCTTGCCTAGTTCATTTGTGTTACCGAGGGTGTCTTATTTACACCACAACAACGTTCTATCCATTTTAGTTGTTGCTACTGTTGGTATTCCTCTAGTGATGTGGTTTCTATTATTTGGTACAGTTTTTTGTTTGTGATTCTGTAGCATGAGTTCACAATGTTCAAAGAAGGATGGTCTTTGCTAAGACCCTCATTTTTTTAACCATTAATCTTGCAAAGTGGTTGTATACAGCTGACAGTTTAGATAGTTCTGAACAGGTTTGGAGCCATGCATGGCATCCATATGAAAGTCTCAATCTGATGAGGCTATTTAAGAACATGTCTCGAGGTTTCATGCTAATGTTTTGGTTTTATAGTAATTTGAGGTGTTAAGTGAAACTACCTCCAGTACAGCCTATTCTATGTTTAATTTCCTTTTCTCCAATACTAAATTTCTTATAACTGATCCACATGCAAAGGTATTTGAAGTGTTTGGTAGTTACTAATTCTACAGCCTTTACTTTTATGATGGATTCAAGTAGGTGCCATTGCTACTTACCATTCGAATTCCAAACATTAGTTTCTGTTTTGGAAAGGTTTAACTTGAGTCCCATTTCTTGGAATACTTTATATAGAATAGAATAAACAAATGTTACTGTTAAATAATAGTTTAGCAGACTACTATTTTTTTTAGAGGAAGTGTATCTCTGCTCTGATTTCCTAAGGTTGATTCATGGGGTCAGATGCAAGCCATAATATAGGAAGTTGATTTTGCTTGGCTGAGTTAGCATGGAAATGATAGTTAAAGGTTTTTCAGTGAGTTGGTTCTTGCACATCAAGCAATGTAGACATGTTCTTTTTTGTGTCTGAAATGACTCCCTAGTGAAGGGGGAACAGCCCCCATTGGATAGTTAATACATTAGTTAAAATTCTGTGTTGGAGTCTTTCATTGCTGAACTAAAACGATTGGTAATTGCCAGCCAAGAGAAAAGTCCAAGCTGAGATCATTCACTGCTGTCAACATTACATTTATAATTAGTTTGTTGGCGAATATTAGTTGTTAGTTTAGTGACTGCATTAATTTTCACAAACAAGAGAGAATTAAATATACAATTTAGCGACAACATGTGCCTGAGCAAAACTAAATGGAAACAACAAAGGTGTCTTTGTAGAATTTTTTTTTATATATATGTATATAGGCAAATTTCCTATGAAAGATTGTGCCAGACAATTTGAAAAGTGTTCTTTATCAGTTGGTTTAGTACAATTATTACGTTATACCCTGACCTTATTAATTAAAGTGTACTATTTGATTAGTGACAAGATCTCATCATTTTATAGCCGAAAAGG